AATTTATACTTCCAAGATCACATTATACTGCTGTGCATGTGAAATATTAAATGCTTTCTGAGAAAATTGAACCATGCATCCCACTGGTATCAGATGGATTCTTCACTTTACGGTATCCCTAATCATTTTAACATGTGTGCACTCATTTGGTGAGAACGCAGATACATTGCTGCGGCATTTTATTCTCTAGACACACTCGCTGACTGGGAGACACCAAGACTTATTCAAAACACTATCATACCACTTAAAGAGAATAAAGTCTTCTTCCCCACAGTTCTCCCTGAGCCACACACCATTCGAGAGGAGCATTTTGATGGCACCTTATCAAGTTGAATCATCTCACAGCCCATAAATGGCAAGTGTGATGAATGTTTGTAGAAAAGATACGGCAGCCATTTTGCGCATAGCCAATAATAATCCTTTCATTTGATATAGCACCTTATCACATCGTCAAGACGTTTCAATGCGCTTCACAGGATATACTGTAAAATGGATGAACTGTGTATTTTGTGGGCGAACATATTGCAGACAACAAGGTCCCACACACATTCACAAGGTGAATTTGAAGTATTGTTGGTCAATTGCTTCCTTTTCTTTTTGGACAGTGTCACAGGATTTGGTCACTCAATCCACGACTGTTTGTGGGACACTAGTGTGCACAATTGGCTGCCATGTTTCACCCACAAAATATACAGTCAATGAATTTACAGTATATTCTGTGAAGTGCTTTGGGACGTCTGGAGGATAAATACAACGATTATTCTTATTAACATCCACCTTCTTCTGTTCTGTTAGAATTCTATGATTGTATAATCTATGTATTGCCATTCATGTCAGAAGCAAAATAACTATAGCGGTCAGGGTCTGGTCTCAACAATAAACAGCTTAGAGTGTAACCTCGTAAAAATAAACCTAGCAGGTAAAGCTCAAAATAAAATTCTAAACATGATGAGATACATTTGGAGCACTTTATTCCAATAAAGCTTCAAGGTTTATTTCCGCACAGATAGTCCTTGTGAATTTGATAGTGTCAGAAACTACTTGTACAATGTATGTAAATAGGGGCTTGGAGCATTAATGCGCTGAACCAATTTGTGTTAATTGACAAGTAATGTAGATAGCTGTAACATAACAAGCACAGGTAACAGCGAGCTCAAGTTCTTTTGATACAAATTAATAGAAAGTGACAGCAAGATTATTGTGAAATTATAGAAAATGACATACTGATATGTGCACCATTGTGTTATTAATGTAGGAGCAATAATGAAGTAGAAATTATAAAATAGTGTGACAGTTGCACAGAAATGTCATAGTACATTTCTGAAAAAAAACTTAGCCAGAATTTAAACTGTTTTTAATCGAAAGATCCATTATGACATTCCTCTTGCTGCTGAGTACAGTGACTGATGATGTGCACATATAATCACGACAACAACAACTCGCATTTATATAGCGCCCTTCACATGGGGTAGCGCATCACAGTGGTGAAGTTGACAACGAAGCAGGGGGAGAGCGAGGGGGAGGTGACCGTAAGCATCTAATAATACTATAAATAGCATGGATTCGCTCACTGTGGCATTACATGCAGCACTTTTGGTGATGTTGATCATTAAAATCTTTCATCACCAAAGGCAGTAAGTGAAATGCTGACAAGGGTTTCAGTCCATGTAAACGCGGATGATTCCTGTTATCCCTACTGGACAGTGTTGAGGTGTGGTTGAAACACAGGTGCACAAACCTATGATGTTACCCACAGTCCAACAAGCATGGCATGACTCGCATCTAGCACCATACATGAAGAATGGAAACGCTAGCCGTTCCAGTGATCAACATGTGCCCATGGAAATATCTATCAGCACCATTTGGTAGAGCGAGAATATGAAAGGATACTGGGAAATAAAAGGGATTTGCGATCAGGACAGTTCCCTCCAGTGATAGAGCGAGTGAGCACCAGCTTAGGTTCGACAGGCTATAATTTAAGTCTGTAAGAATTGGTAAGTTTAGCAAGCTCTGTGCGGAGTGTTTACAAGCATGCAGGCGGAACAAATAAATTCAAAATATCTTCTCAGCGAATCTTCTGACTCAAAAAGAGCCAAGGGCAGGGTTGACACAAGCTTCAAAAATCACTCAGTTACTAAACTCGAGTCTTTTTGCAACTTGCTGCAAACATCTCCCAATATTTACTTGTTAATGTTTCTGGAGCTATAAACAGGTTACTTCAAATATATCTGTCTCGTTTAACAGGCATGTGGGGGTACTGACCTGGAACACAGTTTGGTGACCAAGAACATGCTGCTAAAGGAGTAATAATGTCATCAGGTTTGGTTTGAAATTACACTGACGCCCAAGCACTTAGCACAAGAAAGAGCCTGAGAGCTACATACCTTTGTATCTACGGACATACGTTTCACTCTCCCTTTTATTAATTCGTCTGTCTGTGTATTTCTCTCTCTATCCACATACTTATCCATAACTCATTCCGCCTTTCCACATCTCAGCAACATTACCCGCCTCCGCTACTGCCGCTCACCGCAGGCTGGCAAGACGCTGATCCATGCTTTCATTACTTCCCGGCTTGATTACGCCAACTGCCTGTTCGCTGCGCTTCCCAAATCTTCCCTCCAAAAGCTGCAGATTATTGAAAACTCTACAGCTCACGTCCTCTCCCACACCAGGCTCCGAGAACCTATCATCCCCATTCTTGCCCGGCTTCACTGGCTCCCCATTCCTCAGAGAATCGAGTATAAAACCCTCATTCTTACCTTCAAGGCCCTCCACGATCTTGCTCCCCACTACCTCCCCAACCTCAAAACCCACATCAGCCTGTCTGCTCCCTCCGCTTTAGGTCCCACGCACTTCCCGCCCAGCCATTGGCAGTCGGGCATTCAGTGTCTCTGCCTCTGGAACTCTATCCCACAATCCCTCCGATTCACCCCTATCTTGCCTCCTTCAAGACCCGTCTGAAGACGTTCCTCTTCGATCATGTCTTCAGCCACCCTCCCACCCCTCTGTCCTCCTCCGCTTCTGACACCAACTCCCAGCTCAGGTCCAAATCCCGACTGTCCAGCACCCTGGGACATCTTTCTGACGTGAAGGGCCCTATACAAGTGTAACTTGCAGTTGTTATCTGGATCATATCTCTCCAGCTCACACTCCTCGGCTAAAATCTCAAACCCATTTACCTGGCATGTGCGCATTATCCAGCATTACCCAGAAATTAAGTCACTCCACACAATTTCTACAGCACCGATTACTTATGTAAAGATTAGCGATTCAAAAGTGCGGATGCTTTCATAAATAGACTATTTTCTATTTTACTTCAAAATGAGACCCACTTCTCACCTAACCCCCCCCCCCACCACTCTCCCAGTGTTGTAATGTTCATTTACTCAATCAAATTCTCTTTGGCTGGTTATCTCTGGGACGGAAATCACTGAATCACTGTGGAGCAGAGAAAGTGGGGGAGAGAGACAGAATGAGAGAGAAAAAAAATGATTTCCATTACGTTGAAGCTTCAAGTGTTCCAAATAATTCTAAGATTTTCCATTATTGTGGAGTGCAGGGTGGCTGAATCCTGCAGAAAAATGGTCGGGAAGGTGGGGGGGGGGAGGAAGAGATTAACACTTCCACTGCTGACAAGAGAAAATAATTTTTTTCTACGGTGTCAAAAGCAATATACCACAAGGTCCTTTTGTGTTTGATGGTAAGGGCTTGACTATACATACATCAGAGGCACTATGGTTTTACAAGCGTACGTTTTCCCCCCAGATGACTCTGTCGCTTCACTGGGTCCCATTTTGTTTTAATCTCCCAGAGCTCGCTGACCTCAAGTTGTCATGTCGGATATAGCACGCTTCTGTGGCTTTTTATGAAGATGGACAAAAGCAGGTACGGCGTACCACACGCACGCACAAAAAAACACAGAGAAGGGGGCTGGGAGCCAAGTTGAATCACTATGGAGAGTGTGTTGTCAAGGCAACAGCATAGTGCCACATGCTAAAAGCCTGTTCATTTGCCAAGCAACATAGAATTCATGATGCAACTGCACCTGTCTCAGCTATGTGTTGCCAGGGCAATGGCCTGGCTTCCATGGTTACCATCACGCTAATCGCCTAGCAGAGGCAGATGTACAGCATTTCCTTCTAAACCCAGCTGTTCCTTGCAATCTCTCTCCCTCATGCACGTCTTTCTCTCTTTCTGCCCAACGCACACCCCCCCCCCACCCCCGTTCCTCCCACGATTGATGGTCTAGACATGTGATGGAATGTACTTTAACCCATTAACAAGACGCGACATCTTTCCCTTCACTGGGCTCCGCACAGCTGCTGGCAGTAACCCGAGATCACAGCCAGCTTTCTCTTCCATTTCTTACCCACACAATGAATGAATGCAAACAAATATTCTCAGTATAAATAAAGCGCAAAATACTGCAGATGCTGGAAATGTGCTGTTTGAACCAAACACTGAGAATATTTGAAACAAAAACAGGAGTCGCTGGGAACACTCAGCAGGTCAGGCAGCATCTATGGAGAGAGGAAGACAAAGGAGAAAGTGGGGTAGAGGAGGAGAGAGGTGGCTGCGAAAACAGGTTTTAGTGAACACCATCAAATGCAAGAAGGGAAACAAATAGCAAAGAAGGTGAGCAGGGTAAAAGGGAAGAACGAAAGTCACGTCGAAGGGAAGAGCAGAACATCTTCAAGGTAGGCATTCTGAGGTCCCCCCTGTCTGTTAGCCCTTAAAAGCCTCTCCCTCCCAACATACCTCAGTTCTGACGAAGGGTCGTGGACCTGAAACGTTGACTCACTTTCCTTCCTCCATAGATGCTGCCGGACCTGCTGAGTGTTCCCAGCGACTTCTGTTTTTGTTTCAAATATTCTCATTGTTTGGTCCAAATAGCACATGTTCACTCACTCCTCCCTTCATGTGTCTTTCCCCTTCAGCTCCCCAGCAACTCTTGACAAATGAACATCCCAAGGCCCAATGCATACCCAGCCGCTTACCTTTGATAGGTCCGTGGGGACGTTGGAGGCGTGTTAAAAACGTGGGAGTAAGGATGGTAGGGTGTCTTTTTCAATGCTTGAATAAGATTCTGTCTGTATTCTGGGTCTATGCACCATAAAGAGCCTTTCCCAATACTCTGTAGAGAGAAAGAAAAGCAAATCATGTGTCATGTCCTGTGGAATTGTATACTTTAACAGTCTAGCAACCCATGCTTTCCAACGGGTTTAACTTCAGTCCTGGCAAGCATCTCATCACAAGAACATTTTATGCAAACAGAAAGCACTTCTTAATTTAACAATTACCGAATGTATTCAGGAGTCAGCCTTGTTGTGCGGCAAATTGGCAAAATCAACAGTCAGTGTAATTGCTCTGTACACACAGAGTTATCACGTCGGTGTGTCTGTGAGCGTGGTCTGCGCCAACATTCAATATTTATTCTGCTGTTCAAAGCGGCGTGCAGGGCCTTTGGCTGCAAGGTTAAAGCTGGTAATGCCATCAGTGTGCAAAAGAGCAGCGCGGAGTTCTTCTGCTTTCTCTCCAGTCATTCTAAACAAAGCGCTAACTGCATATAATATTAATCTTCACACCTCCACCGTGAAAATAAAGGCTGCCCTGTGCTGCTTGTGAATTGCGCAATTTGATATCACCTGAGCCGATCACAATGCCTGGTACGTGAAATGGCTGTGGACACTGATGAACTTTGCCTGTCCAATGCATTGCTACACTTAGCAAACAGCCTTAACTGTTTACAAGCCAAAGCAGACGAAGTTTGCTATAAACATTTACTTTTTCCACTGGGGCTAAAGCTTGGACCCTAAACCTTCAAATCTTTTTCACTTTCAAAACAAAGAAATAAGCGACCCGCAAAATTTGAGCTGGCCACATGAAAAGGAGTGGAAACAGCACAGTTGCAACAATGCTTAACACACAGGTTTTGCAGATGAAGATATGGTTAGAACCAGGTGGACAAAGAATACTCTTTAAAAATAATATTCAATGATAACGTCAGCAAGACGTCTCAAAGCACTTCACAGAATATACTATAAAGTTAATTGACTGAATATTTTGTGGCAGCCAATTGTGCACAGCAGCGTCCCACAAACAGTCGTGGATTCAGCAACCGTATTGTTTTGGGGAGGGATTATGACCGCCCCTGTAAAAGCAATCCACCAATCGACTAACCACCGGGTTCCTACTTACTGCTAGGTAAACAGGTGTTGGAGTAAGGAGACTTGCCAAAAGTTTCACCTTGATTGGAAATCAAACCCAGATCCTCTCGATTGCGAGGCGAGCGCTAACAACACAGGACTCTACTACAGGATTATTTTTTTGCAAAACAAGTGGCGAGAGTTTTTAATTCAAAATCCTACCAAATTCGCCAGGGAAGGACTTCTCACAAACCATTCTCCAAATCAAAATGCCAACATGCTGACATGAAATCACAACACAGATGGCGTCCACTCAGCCCATTGCTAGCTCTTCCAGTGGAGAGAACTACTGTAATTCCAATTCCCTGCTCTTGCCTGGACTCATTGTTCCTCTCTGAATATCTCTCCAAAAGAGAAACACAATGATATCAATATGAAGTGAAATTCTTTCAGCGGAACGAGAAGATTAAATGAACCGTAAGTATCTTGCAGCCTATTTTAGAGGACTAAGTGATGGTGCTCCCTATTTGTAGAAGCATGAATACAGAGCATGACAATTTGTCGCGACACACACCCCTCAACTGCATAATTTATTCTATTACAAGAAATCCTTTCTCTGCAGCTCCTCAGTAATGAAATTACTGCACTCATGGGAAGAAATTCCACCTGGGTCTAGATTTTACTCTATTTGTGTAGCATTTTACAGTGTGCAACATTTGTCTAATTCTTTAAACACAATATAGACGTTATTTTGATATAGTTTTTCTGTAAGTTCTTTCAAGAACCACTGAAAATCTGGCTTCAAAGCCAAGACTGAATTCAATATCTTACCAAATTCAGAATGCTCTGAAATGCTACACGTGTAAAGTAAACCCAGATCCAAGTGGAATTTCTGGCCATCAAAATATTTGATAAAAATACAGCGCCATAGATCAAAGTAATATTTCCAAATCAACGATTCTATATTCTTTTAAAGGAGAGGAATAGGCACATGCTCCCAAGCTTCAGTTCTGCATTCGCCAGCTTTGGTTAGATAATAATAATCCTATGCATTTGATATAGCCTTAACAGATCTTCAAGATGTCTCACATCTCTTCACAGAATATACTTTAGAGTGAATTGACTGTATAATTTGTGGGTGGAAATCCCAAATGCAGCAGATAATTGTGCATAGCATTGTTCCACAAACAGTTGTGGATTGATTGACCAAATTATTAATATTTGCTTTTGAAGTGATGATTACTCCTGGAAAACGATCTGCCAGTCGACTAACAAACTGGGTTCTTACTTACTGCTAGGTGAACAGAGACGTGCTGAGTAAGGGAACTTTCCTAAAGGTATACCCTGCCCGGGAACCAAACTCAGGTCCTCTCACTTGTGAGGCGAATGCTCTAACAAATTCGCTACAGGAATCCACAAGTGAATCAAATGAGGAACTCGAACAAGGCAGCCTGCTCCAGTTACCAGCATTTAGTTAGTCAGACTCAGCACAACATACACCAGGCGAATTTGGGTTAATCACAAGACAGGTTTGTCGAGTTTATTAAGACTTGCAGTTTGCAAGATTGCAAGAAGTCGATAAAGTCTGAAAAATGCAAGTGAGCCAAGTGCAGTGGGGAAAGAAAGAGCTGCTGACTTGCTCAGTGGGCTTTTATCTCCCCGACTTTGCCACCTTGGGATTCCCAATTCGGTGCAATAAGTGTGGCCACAGGTCATTAAGCAGCAGATTGCAAATGCGAGAGCATCGATTGGTTTAAGCTAGTTACTATAGAATAAGTCTATAGTTACAGACAAATCAAACATTTAGCTCTGGAATCTCTGCTGCACGGTAAAATGCTGTGCCGTGCCAGTTAATTCAAGCCCCTTGGATGCAAACTGCAGGTCAAATGCAAGTGGCCGACACTTCCAGCTCCCCGTCTCTGAGGTCAGCCTCAATAGACAGGGAAAGGCATTGTGAATGTTTAAACTCACTCTCACAGGGAGAATCAATGGAGTTTAAGACCACTTTGGTAATGATTTACGTCCACGATATGACAGCTGGCACGTGGATCCACCATCCACCAACTAAGCAGCACTGAACAAAAATGTGGATTACATCCGTCTCCATAACAACAAGTAATTGTGCCATGGATAAAGGCGCAGTTAAAATCTCAGCCCCAGCTTCATAAACTCTAGGAATAGTCAGTGTACATCTGTGACGGGCACATTAAATCTCACTGAATACTTTAATGATTTTACTAACATTCTTCAGCAGGTTTTAAACATTTGTCTCACTTATAGACTATGAACTTTGATTCATCCAAGACAATGTCTGATTGAAGTCAAACCACCAACAACAATTTGCACAGCTACTCGTTGTATGTTGTGGAGATTTTTTCAACCCAAAAGAAACGTCTCAAAGGCCACCACGGGCCTCAGTAACTTCAACAGGAACAATACAATACAAAATTACATTGGTACACTAGGGACGTCCTCCCTTTCACGTCGGGAGGATGTCCCAAGGCCCTGAAAGGTCAGGATTAGGAGCCGAGCGGGAGGTGACTCGGGAGGGCATATAGTGTGGCCAAAGGCACGGTCGAAGAGGAGGTTCTTGAGGCACACTTTGAAGAAGGCAAGAGAGGGAGCGAGGCAAAGGAATGTGGGATGGAGTCCCAGAGGGTGGGGGTGTAGATGCTGTAGGCTCGACCGGCGGTGGTGGGGTGGGCCCTGCGGGGCACATGGAGCAGGCCAGAGCCTGCTGAGCGGAGAGGTTGATAAGGGGTTAGCAGGTCAGACACTTGTATAGAGGCTTTCACATTGTAAAGACGCCCCAGGGTTTTGGACCCAAAGGCACGACCGAAGAAGAAGGTCTTTGGACGGGATTTGAAGGAGGTAAGAGAGGGGTTGAGGCGGAGGGATTGCGGGATAGAGTTCCAAAGTGTGGGGGCAGAGATGCTGAATGCAACAACTTGCATTTATTTGGCGCCCCTCACACAGTGTAGTGTCCCAGAGCGCTTGGGACGCTACCCTTATGAGGGCTCTGAACATCCCACAAGCAATGAGACGAGCAGTCTCATTGAGATGAATTTAGATGAGACAGGGAATACAAACCAGGATAAGTAGGGGTGGGGCCTCCAACGTTCAAACCAGGAATCACAAAACAGGAGACCTAAATTAATATTCATTTCATTTCAAACTATAGAATATGGAATGTTAATTAAATGAATACAACGAAAGTCTCACAAACTGTGAGGTGAGTAATCAAATGTGTTGGCACAACTTTGGATTAGGGAATAAATACCATTCCGCACATGGTAAAGCATGGACTATATTGACAGAAATCTACACAGCTCAGTGAGTAAAAACAGTGCATGGATTGGGGAGTGAAGAGGTCAGAGCAACAAAAACAACAACTTGGATTTATATAGCGTCCTCCACGCCAGACGGCATCTCAAGAGCGCTTTACAATCACGGATCCCGGGGCCGAGCCAGGGGGAAGGGGAGAAAAGTGACCAAAGGCACGGTCGAAAAGAAAGGTCTTCAGCAGAGACCTGAAAGTAGGAAAAGAGGGGCGAGGCAAAGGGAGTGAGGAAGGGAATTCCAGAGCCTCGGGGCATAGTGGGTGAAGGCAGTCAATTCACTTACAGTATATTCTGTGAAGCGCTTTGAATCTTCTCAACGATATGATTAAGGCGTTTATCAAATGCATTTGTTGGTATTGTTATTAACCGCTCTAGATTATGAAGCAGTAACGTGCACTACATTCGTCGATCCACATTTCAATGCAATTAACTGAAGCAAAGCCACTTAAAAGTGTTTATCAGCATTCCTTCCTCGAATCAGACAAAGCATTTACCAGGTAAATGGGCATTAAATAGCCAACCAAGTGACAACTTGAACATAATTAACTAAACCCCCAGAACAGCATGCAGTTAAACGTTTACAGATCTACGCTCCCTGACTTTGCAAAGCTTTGCATATGAAATGTAGCCAAAGAGAGCTAACAACT